TCACTCTATTTAATTCAAAGGTTTCTATTTATGCGTGCCTATTCAATGACAGTACTGCATATCTAAGAAATCGTTTAGGTTTATTTTAAGTTTGTTTATTTACGTTTGTCGAACAATCATTATTCGATCTATCTACGAGGTGCATTTTGTCATTCACACATTGAATTTGTTTATATTTTCTATGCAGCAATGTTTACATAATGTCCAGTTATCTTGGAAACGCAACTATGTATGTGTGTAATAAATTAACGAAATACCAATAGGAAATATTTTTGAATGTAAACCACTTTTATAACGAGAAAGGTTAAATAATATTATACAGGATGTATCGAAATTACATCTGGAATTTTAAGGGGTAATTTAATATTAGGTATATAAACCTTTTTCTTGTGTTTTATTATTAAAATTATTTATACTTGACACTTTGAGATGTCTCAGTTAAAATAAAACCAAGTATTTTATTCAAAAATTATTGGAGAATCGTATTGTAAGGGTCCTGTGGTACATAATCGTTTAAATTCAAATTTGGGGCTATTTTAACCAAGGAAAATTTAAATAATCCACTAAAAATAATATTATAGTTTTAAGTTATTTTATGTTTTAAAAACCTATTGAATTTTGTGTATGTTAAACATTCTTGCTTAAGTGGAAGAGAGTTTAAAAGATACATTAGAAAATATAATACACACAGAGGGTTTTTGTTCGAAAGAATCCTGTTAAAAAGTTTGTGAGATATATATGGACAACGTTTATTGAAGAGGAACCAAGCGCCAAAAACTTTTTCTGGGCTTAGTAAAAGTATTTGTAAAATAACTCATATTTAATAATGCTCAAAAGGTTAATCATCTTATGGAACTTTTCTCAAAAAGATTGAGAAGATTCCCAAATCTTTTTAAATTTTTTGAGCAGCATTAAAAATGAGTTATTTTGCAAATAATGTTTTTTACCCCCGAAAAAGTTTTTGGCGCTTGGTTCCTTTTCGATAAACGCTATCCATATTATAATATAGCTATAGTTTGTGTGATTGTTACCGATTTTCTGCTATAATTAGGTATGTACACTTTTATAAATTGTAATATTTGCTAGTAAAGATAAACAACTCCTCGTTTTGGGTTTTCTTAATACATTTTTGCTTATAATTTTTAACAATATTATTTAATTCGCATTTTGGTCTATGACTTTTTTCATTGCTAGTTTATTGGGTCCTAATAATTTTAATATGTGTAAATAGCGAGTGATTTTTGGTAATAATTTTTATTGTATCACTATTTCATTATTTTGGTATAATATCTTGGGATCGCGCATACACTGAGTTCCAATCTTTATGTTGTTGCATTCACCATATGCACTGAATTACATTTTACTTAAATAAAATCAGGGGTTTAAAAATTAAATACTTGTGTTTCATTAAACCTGACCAATTTCAAAATATCGATATTATCAATGTAAGTAAATACACAACGTAGAGTCCTAATTTTTATAAAGTAAGTAAATTATCTAGACGATCACGAATATGCCAAAATAAGTATTTCAGTATACTTAAAGAATCGGGTTACGAAAATACATAGTGTACCTTACAGTATAAAGAAAAAAATTTTCATTACAGCGCCATCTATTACAATTATGAAAAAAATGTTTTTAGACAAAATCTACCTATTTTTAGTAGAATGATCCGAATCTGCAATAAAAAATAAGGTGTTCCATTGGAAATTTTAAAGTTACCCCCTGTTCCCCCTATATGTAAGGAGGAGAGTATGAGGACCAATTTTAGTACTGATTGATTTTCCCCCTCGAATCAATTAATTTAAATTTTAAACATTTTAAACATCTATATATTAATATTTTTTCGTTTAATTTTAAATAATAAATTTGGTAAAATTTAACCTATTCAAAATCCTAATGACTTTAGTGGGATCATATTTTGAATGCCATTTACATTTTCGCTACCAATTAAAAACCGCTTAACCCAATTTAAAAATGACATAATACCGTCCACTCTCAACTATTTTTATATTACCTAGCGTGTTTTACTAGAAACAAGGCAACGTGCGTTCCAAAAATATGTCGCCAATTATTACGATAAAAAAATTAAAGATATAACGCATAATTTTATTTTATTTATTTCAGTTATATTTTATTTTATTTAATTTAAATGTTATGTAGATAAAATACATTTTCACAAAAGATCTCTTTTCAGTCAAAATTTAGTCTAAAATTAGCGAATGTTTTACAGTGAGTAGTTAAATATTAATTGTCCCTTCAATTAAGTGCCTTTGTATTAATTTAAAATAAATGAAGGTCGTTCACGCATCTGTCTAATTTTAGAATATAAAATTAGAATACAAATTCTTGCAAAAAGTGAAACTTTTGTTCAAGTCTTTTCTAAATAGATAAGTAGTTTTCTTTCGGACATTTTTAAGAAATCTAACAATAAATAATACTTGCACAAACTTAACCTTAAAATCAACATTTTTATATATCTACAAATTCATGGCAAGATAATATTATATATAATACATGCATGCATAATATAATACCCGTTTTTGTTTTTTACCGTTAAGTGGGGACTTTTTCAATCAGCGCTTTTAATAATTTATAACGTTGTTTGAATTTAGACGACCTATTTGTTTTATGATTTTACTGAATTGAAATATTTACAATTTTCACGTAAATCATTACTAAAATGTGTATTTATTTTAACTAATAGGTACAATTTATATTTACAGGAACTGTATGCAATTTATTTCTTCATTTGGATTTTCACTGTTCACTGGGAAACCGGTAAAAACTCAACCCAGGATTTCCTCTCGAAAAACACCCAACAACTCAACAAATTGTTCCACGTTTTTTTCTAGATAATTTTCTAGGCTTATTACTTATACGAGGTGTGTTCAGAAAATAACGGGAATTGTTAAATTTCGCGGGTTCGGAGGGTCCGGTTGTCATAAAATTTTCTTTATTATGTTGGTATACATGCCCCCGAAGTATGATAAAAACAGTATAATAATAGTTTTTTTAATAAGAATTTTCGATATTGTCAAATATAAAGGTACTTTACTCTTGAGTAAGATTCATATTTTTTGACAAACCGACTGAAAAAATTTTATATCTGATAATTGTATTTTAGATTTTAGAACATGCATAACTTTTTATGGAGAATAACTTTTTTTCTTAAAATTAATAATAAAAAAGTTTCCCACGCTGTATATTCAAAAAAATTGAAAAATTTTTTCTAAGGCACCTCTAGAAAGTGCTCACCAACTTTGAGAATATTAATAGGAAGATCCTCATCATTACAGTTTTCTATTTTTTCTATAGTCCCGTATAAAAAAGACCATACGAGGTGTGTTCAGAAAATATCGGGAATTTTCGTTTTTTGAAACTAATATTTATTTATTTGTCTACATTAATGTTGTCGCCTTCCAAATAGTCCCCATTGGAAATTATGCACATGTGCCAGCTCTTCTTACAATACTTGAAACACTTCTAAAACTCGATCTTTGGGATAGCCTTTTTTTAGTTCCACCCTTACTTCTTAAGAAGTCCCATAAGCCAACTGAATGGCTTGTGCGGGTTAGGGGTAGGAACGGACCGCGGGCTTAAAGTCCCCTCCGAAGGACTATTACACAATAGGACAAACACAAATAAACAGCCATACCCTTGGTGGGATTCGAACCCACGATCTCCGGCTTGTAGTCAGCAGCACTTTTGGGAATAGGAAAAAGTCAGACAGAGGCATGTCTGGCGAATATGGAGGCTGGGGCATCATTACAGTATTGTTTTTGGCCAAAAATTTTGTTCAAAATTTAACAATTTTAGAACAAATTTTGCTGCCACGCGTTTCATACCCAAAACATTCGAAAAAATTTCATGGGATGAGCCAATCGATATACCAACATCATCAGCGACTTCTCTGATGGTTTATAACCATTTATTCCACTTTTTCCATGTTTTTATCGGTTGTTAATGTGCTTGTGCGTTCGGGGCGTTCGTCATCTTCAACGTCTTCACGGCCATCTTGGAAACTCTTATACCACTTGTAAACTCTTGTTTTACTTATAGCAGACTCACTATAGGCCTTTGTTAACATTTCACAGAATTTATTTCACTTTTTAAGCAAAATTGGATACAAATTCTTTTATCCATTTCTTTTAACGAACGAAAAATCGCCGAGCTCATAAAACACGTCTAACCTTAGCGGCTGCCACAGACAAAGTAAACAATGAAAACAGCTAAAGTTTTTATCATACTTCGGGGCATGTATATCAACATAATAAAGAAAATTTTATGACAACCGGACCCTCCGAACCCGCGAAATTTATAAATTCCCGTTATTTTCTGAACACACCCCGTATTTCATTATTAATTAATCGTTTAATCAGATCTTTATACATATTTTTGTAGTAAATTAAATGCTCTACAAAAAGGACACACTCACGTGTTTAGCGATTACTCTAACCATTTAAAATATATTCAAGATTAAAGTTTAAAGATTTTTTTTTATAAATTTGTAACTCATTGAAAAATAATAATTGTGAAATGAGTATGACATATTTTTGTAGAAAATTTAACGCTCTACAAAAAAGGTCTAATATGTTTAATTGATTTCTCTAACCGTTGAGAAGATATTCGTATCAGTACGCATTGATATTCGGATACAAATATCTTCTCAACGGTTAGAGTAATCATTTAAAGGCAACCTTTTTTGTAGAGCGTTGAATGTCAAACAAAGGTAAAAAAAAATGATAGATTCTTAATAGAAATGGAAATATTTTGTCTATTATATTAAGTTTCTTCTACCAACAAAAAATATCTTTTCCATGAAACCTTTTTGACGACATCGCGTCACCTCTGACAACCGCGTGGTCATACACACATGTCGCACATTACCACACAAACAAACAAAAACCGCCACACATGCGCAATCGCGAAAATCACCACAACATCTCCAAGGCAGCACTCAAACCCCAAACAAAATTCGTTGCACTTTTTGAACTCACCCTCGAAATTTTCAACTGCGTCGACGTGTCGATGCCGCCGTGCATGCGAAAACCCCACGGCGACCCGCCTTCCAAGACGACCTCGCGCGTTGTCATGGCCTGCTGGTGTCGACGCTTGGCGTCGGCGACGGGGCTGGGCGCCGGCCAACTCGATTACATGCGGCTGGCTGTCGTGGTGCACCACGTCTGTACCCAGACGACGCTGATGCGACCGTCATCGATCAAAATACGTTCTGTCTATTGTTTTTTGTTCTATGGGCTGTTTTCGGTGGTGTCCATTCATAGAGTCAGTCTGAAAGCTAAAAAAGTCTATTAGTGTTTATTTTATAAATTTAATTATATATTTTTTATATAGAATTTTTTATTTTATTAGTGGTTTTTATTTTCAATTATGGTTTAGAGTGTTTAAAAAGTTTACTTAAATTTATTATTTTATTAACATTACCCAATTTTTTACAAATTGATAGGGTTGGGATTTTGACCGGTCAAAATATTTTGTGGTCAATTGACTAAGCACCGGTCAAATTCCTTAGTTTTTTCTAAAGAAATGAAGGCATGAGTAAAATTACTTAATTTTAAATAGAAAAGTAAACCTATTTATTGAACAACAGCTAACAAAAAATTAAGAAACCATTCTGAGGTACAAAAAAACATTCATAATACGAATATTATACAGCCCGTTCAGAGTAAATCCGAATATAGGGAAACGTATCGGGCATGGCCTCGCCTCCCTCCAACGCGCTTCACAGTAGCTTGTGTGACAAACGACATGACGAAAGGTCGAGCAGGTAATACTACCTTAAAAATTAAATGATAATAATGCAAAAAATCTCATTAGCGATGCAGGCTATTTGCTTAGCTACTGTGTCAGGCAAGGCCACGCCCGATACGTTTCCCTATATTCGGTTTTACTCTGAACGGGCTGAATATGTTTTTAAGAACATTCACGTCTAGCTCGCAGCAGAGCATCAACAGCAGATAAAACCTGAAGATGGTACATAAGATTGTACCGAAACGTCGTCAGACATACGGTTCTTTTAAGAACCAAAAACCGACAACACGGTGCTAGCAAGTGTAGATAACGGCACATCATCCTCGTCATTGAACCCACCCTTGCCATTGTCTTTATTCTCTTAAAATTAATTAGTCAAAAATGGCCCAGAACACTATTTAAAAAGCATTATTATGATTGCACCATGGTCCACTACCGAACATTTTTTTAATACTTTTGAGATTTTGACATGGTCAAAATCTCTCCTGTTAAAATAGGTAAAAATCTCGGTCAATTGACCAGGCACAACCCTACAAAATGGAACATATTTTTTATATTAAACCCTTGGTGGTTCCATACCACCTTATTCCTTTTCTTGGGGTTATGGGGTTATTTAAAAAAAAATAGCATAGTAAATACTTTTTAATAAATTGTATATAAATTTTATGAAAAAAAGCATTTAACAATAATAAATAAACAAATTGATAATATTTTAGATTTTATGATGCCATGTTTATAACAGAAAGAATTTGGCAACATCGTATTTCTACTATAGTATACGATACCCAAAAGGTTTTTATCATATAATCAACGATTTTGTTTCTTCTCTGTTGTATACCAAGTGTGTTTGGCATTGTTTTTTCCATTATGTTTAATATGCATATTATGTCACTTTTTGCTTTTTATAAAGCTATTCCACAGAAATTTATGTAGACTTAACCTAGGCGATGTATGCAAATGATTTAAAAAAATTTGATACAACCTAATTTAAATTTCATTTAGTTGACAATTCGTATCATACGTGGACGTATTACTATGTCTATGGTATCATATATTTTAAATCCCCTACTTATGAACTGACTATACGCATGTGTAAAATGATACGGCAAATCGACAAATTTCCCTTCATCATATCATACTATATTATATTCTATTCTATTTAATATATATTTATATTTACTGAATATGTTTATTTTTTAATAAATATATATATATATATATATATTTACTCAATATATGTATAAATATTTTTCAAAAATATGTTAATTTGTACAATTTTTTTTTAGTTGTGGTTTTTATTTTCAATTATGGTTTTTAGAATTTGTAAAAAGTTTACTTAAATTTATTATTTCATTATCATTTTTAACAATTTTTGGCAAGGTTTAACAAATTATTTCGTTGAAAAAGTACACGTGATTTCAGGCAGTCAATCAAAACATTTCCCACTGACAATACGCATCAACAAGTTCAACTGCTTACTTTATTCTAATTCGTAACGTGTTCGTAACAACTGTCCAGAGTGTTTATAATATATATTACCAGAAATCTGTTATTGTTATTCGGTTCCTTATATTTATTTTACGAGTGTGCGAAGTATCCGAAAAAGATGACTTCACTGGTGTTGTAGTAGTACTGATAATTATATTGTACCAAATTTCTTTTTAATTTGATGATTTCAGAATAGTGTGTTATTTAATTATGTTATTTTTATGTTCATTTGTATAGGTGTGTTATTTTTTTTTTGTTTAGGAATATGATTAATAAATCAACATTTCTTATTAAAATTCTTTCAAATAAGTTCCCAATTTTCAAAAAAATACTTTTGTTAATAGGTCTACAAAAAGGTTTTTGAAAATAAGGTCCTTTGTGAAAGTCACAAGAATTATGGTTGAATTATTGATATAGGATTTTGTTATTTATTAAATCTACAAAATGTTTATTATAATTACAAACTACTTTCACTTTCACATTACTATTCAATAAGTTAACAGATTAAAGTTGGTTGTAAACTTAACATTAAGTTATGTGAACCTGGGTTAACATAAAATCTGGTTAATTTTTGGTTAAAATTAACAAATATTTTTCTACTTTGTACAATTAGATTTTTGTCACCCATACTAATCCACTATTTATTTTAATACTAGTTAATATTAGTTTAATTTTATTTCAATATTTTTTTCATGGATAACTTGACAGAATAAATGTTTGTAAATAGTAATTATTGTGCATTTTTAATTTAGCTACAAAATCGTTCCTATAGGAAAAATTTTAAGTACACTTTATAATTTTTTAATAAAATTTAGTATAGGGTCGTTTTAAAGGATGGTGAATTCAGTGCCGTGTATAGATTTTTTTTAATCGCTAATATGTATTCTTAAAAATTTACTCTCAAAAACTAACATAGTATAGTATAGTAGGCCTTGTATTTTGAAAATAGGCGTTTTTCACTGTAGGTATCCTGATAAACTGTAAAAGTGTTTTTTGGGCTACTTTTTTGTTTTTTTTTACTTTTGCATTTTTTACAACTATAGTTAAGTATCATTTTTATAGTATATTATGTATCAAGTTTGATAAACGCCATTTTATACACGAATTTAATTTAGGCACGAGCGAGCTTGCGAGCGAGTGCTTAAATTAATGAGTGTATAGAAAAGTTTATAAACGAGGTGCATACTATACTTTTTCTACGACAAATACTTATTATTATCTTATAATGATTTAAATCAAAAATTTGTATAGAGCGCCTTCTATGAAACAATAGGGGAATCTGTGTGTCACCGTGAAATGTCAAATATTTTTATTTTATAAACACAATTATAAAGGTTATAAATCGAAATGTATTTCTTGAAAATTGATAGTTTTTCACAGTGAAAGTAAAGAAAATGTTTTATGAGCACTTTACAGTGGAGTCCGAGCCCGAATTTAAGTTATAGTTAACTGCCGGCGAAAATAAAATGTCAGTACAATGTTCATATAAACTTTTCAAATATTGGCGTTGAGAAACTATTTAATACTTTTGTATTTTTGTATTGAGATAATAAAATAATTTTCACATATAGTATTATTTTACAAGAAAGGCAATTTATTTTAACGATTGTATGACATTTGACAACTGTCAACTAACTTAAAACTAACTTCAGCCCGTGACTAAAAACCTGTTGCTAACTTCAGCCCGTGACTAAAGCGCCATAAAGCCACAACTTGTCAATGTGTATTTAAAAGGTCACAGTGTCATGGAAACATGTACGATAAAGGACGTTTTAAAGTTGGGAGTAGAAAAAATATTTTTGTGCACTATATGAATAAATTTTTTATATTTTTTGACTAAGTAGATGTTAAAATGATTAGTGTTGCTCATTAAAAAAGGATGATCAAGTTAATTTTTCATTGTAATATCTGTATTTTTTGTTTTATAATAAGAATATAAATAATAGCTGTATGTTAGATATCCAAATATTTTACAAATTGGTTGTATAAAATAGTGTAAATCAGTCATAAAGTATTAGTAAAATGGATTTTTAATAATTAATTCATTTGATTATTAACAATTTTCTTTCAGAATAATTGAGGACCCTAGAAGCCAAGTGCATTTTGTTTAGTTTTGAGATAATAATTTTAAAGTAAAAAAACACTTGTAATTTATAGTCAAAATTGTTTGTTGTTTTATTACTTTGTTTTTTAAGATGTCCAAGCTCACAATTCAGTTATATCCCTTGGATACCATGTACCAATATATGATTTACTATATTTTTCTGTACATAACTACATTTTTTTTAAATGTCACTTGTATCCCTTGGCTTCTAGGGTCCTCAATTACTCTTAACATTCGTTCTAAATTTGTTTGCTATTATATTTTTTATATTATTATTTTTTTTTATATTATTATTAAATTATTATATTGTTATTAAATTTTAAAATTAAAAAGGTATTTTATTTGTTTCAAATTTTAAATATAAAAATTTAAAAACGCATTTGTTGATAAATTTTTAATATTAATTATTTTAAGTACCTATTTGGTTTTAATTACTTATTATTATTATTTATTTATTCTATTATATTTTACATTTTAAGATTTTGTATTTACTGACTTATTATTTTGTTAATAATTTAAATTATATTTTGAAATATTTTTGGACCTTCTAAAAACATTAGGCTCAACACATATTTCAGTTGCATGGCATTTATTTTTGCTGATTACCAAGCAAACAAATTGTTGCTGCCAAAATATTACAAGATACATGTCCATTTTACTTAAAAAAAACTTATTATCTAACATTATTTAGCGACCTGCTAATCTAGGTAAACAAAGAAAATGATTAAACTTAAGCTCTTTGCTTAAGTATGAGCTCTACATTTATACGTTTTCCTTATTTAGTTATGCATTTTATAGTAAATAAGTTTCATACTATATTTTTTATACATCATACAGAATTAGAGTAGCCAAGTCAAATTTTTCACATTGAAAATGTACTAACAATTGTTTAAATAATTTTGTGTTTTTGTATTGAGATAATAAAATAATTTCCA